ATTTGAAAATAAACCTGCAGAGAAAAAATTCATGGAATTGTTACAGAATGAAAACATTATTATACCAGTAGCACAGTTCATAAGTAAAAGCTTTGAAGTCAGGAAGCAGGGTCTTACTTGACATCTTAATGCCTGCTGTCAATTTTGTAATTTTATATTAGATTGTATTTTAGAGATTTTGTTTTATTTAGTAATTTAGTGATTGTATTTGTTATTTGTTTTTTAGTATATTGTGTTTTTGTTTTGTTTTTTATATATATATATTTCTCCTTGTACTTTGTGACCATTTTCTTTCCCTCTGGGGATTGTGTAAGAGTCAATAAGTAAATACAGTAGACATCTTTGAAACTTATAGGCACACAGATTAAACCTGTGTTGTTGATTTTGGAAAACCCTACTGAGGCTGCCTTGCTTCCCTTCAGAAAATCTACATTTTAACCAACTTACATGACATTCTATGTTATGTTGACTTTATCACATGAAAGTTTATAGTGCATTTCATCAATTAATAAATAAATGTGAAAATCGTAATTTCCAACACAAATAATAGTCTTGCTACCTTAATTGATAAATATTGGTCATGGCGTCAGACTACATTCACCATTAAATACAAATTAATAATCGGACAGTAGTATTGCATAGCAGTTGGTTGTCGGGTGGGTGTAAAAAGATTTTACAAATGCACCTCATTTGACGCACAGATTTACACTCAAACCAAACCATTTTTCTGGGGTTTTTTTTCCTTTTCGGTTATTTCTGTCCATGATTGGATAGAAAAAAAAAACGAACTACAAATACTCCAAGATTTTTTTGACTTCATTAAAAAAATAAAATCGTTTTTGTAGGATGGAAACTTTTTGAGGTCAAAAACCCCCCACCCCCAAACTAAAGGAAATAAGTTTTTTATCCGACATCGATCTTTTGACGTCGTCCCTAATACCTCTCTTTAAGTGTATTACATCAACAATAAATTACCGCCTACAGTATCGCATGCAGTTCTTGCGTAAAATTGACTTGTCATCCAGTAAGGTTGTCTGGAGAATTCGTTCTTATAATAAATATTCTATTCTCTCCATGCAAATGTTACCATAATTGGTGCTGCTGTTTCAGTGTTGTAATTTCACGATATCTTTGTATGTGACAATTATATTTTGTGCGGATTTAAATTTGTGGTATTGAATACCACGACTTTTATATGAATTTCATACACAAGTGTAAAAATCCATTTAGATCTAAATAAATAAATAAATAATTAGGCACGTGCTGTAGGAAACATACTTAAATGGTCTGGTCATAACTACAATTAAACTCCTAATATTCTGGTATCTGATATAAAAATATGACATCCTTTGCAAAAACTTGTTTTCAAAATACAATTACTTTTATGGATGCCTATGCGACCTCGCACATTGACTTGTAGTGTGAAACTTACAGAGGCGGTTGTCATGACTACACACCGTGTGTGCATGCCTTAGACATGTTCAATTCAAACATTAATGTTTACAGAGTAACTAGGTTTTTGTAGAGTTACTAAAGAGTCAGTTGCACATTTTGCTGGCATCCAAAGTGTTTCTAGCTGAAGGCTTGTTTTAAGGTAGAAGCCTACTCATAAATTAAAATACCCAGAATTTATTCATTTTGCAATAAACTACTCCAAGGCAATATAAGGATTTTGACCAAACAAAAAGCCTTTTTTTTGTTGAGAAATTGATGGTTGTATTTTAGTGGAAAGTCTCCATTTTGACACTATTATAACACTTTTACCACAGGTTCCTATGGCAGAGATATTATGCAATATCTCAAAATCTACCTGGTGACACGGGTTGAAAAAATTATATGTTAATGATGGAATACTTTTTGTTTTGTTTTGAATTATTTAAAAAATCTGGGTTTTAAAAAGTGCAATTTTTCTTTAACATTGTGTTTGATGGATTTATTTTATTTTCAGGAAATATTAGGACACATTTCTCAAAAAGCTCAACTGTAACACACAAAATAATGCTATTTCATTGTACCATGGGACATTAGCTTCATAATTGTACATAATAAACTAATGAACATTTATCAAAAATTATGACTAGGCTTCCACCTTAAGATACCAGATTGTGAACCATGGCTCATCATTTATCTGCTATATATTTTAATGGTTACACAGTGTACATGATGTAGGTAAAAAAAAAAAAACTCATGCATGCTCAGTCCTGAGTCCTGTAAGCTAAAATAATGTTAGTTTTTTACCAGTTTTGAAATGAGTCTTTATTAGATAATGTAATTTGTGTTGATGGAGTATGTGAATACTTGAATAAAATAATGTATACCTTGACTTCATTGAAGTTCACATGTGGCATCATAAATGTTTCAGAAATTAGAATCCTTGGAATTTGAGCTTGAATGATGGTCAGGTTTCCTGTTCAAAACTTGTAATGTTATATGATCATATTCAATTTGACTGGTAGTCATTTTGGTAATAAATTGTTGAACACTAATACTCAAGTTTCTGCAAACATATTCTATCAAATATGGTCGATTGCCATTTTGTGGTGTACATCAGGTTCTTTTGAATGCACTGACTGCCTCTAAGATACATCTGTGCTAACAAAAAGGCTAAGCTCGATTACAGTACTCTATGTAATGACTTGATACAACAAAAACAAATCACTAACATTTTGTTTTTCTGAATAGTACTTTAATTACCTTTTAAACATTTTTAACAGTACAGTGACATGCACCCCAAGTTGTTTTAATTTTATTTGTGATCTATATTTTTTTTTTTTTTGCCATGTCTTGTGCACATAGACAATGTAGGAAAAAAATTTGATTGGGACTGTCATTTTTCATGGGCATCAGGTTGCCATGTCCCTACCTGTTTCTGTTGATCAAAAAATGACGTGTCAAGCCTTTGACTTCTCAATGTCAAAGGCACTAAAATTTGTTTAAACTAAAACTATTTGTTTTGAAGGTGCACAGTATTTTATTGACAAAGAAATGTGTATCTGTGTACGTAGGTCTTATCAAGTTTGACAGACATTTATAAACTACACTGTCAAATACAAAATAGCAATTCAGAAAAAAACATGCGTCTCTTGTCAAGTTTGAGTTTCTATTAACAATTATGAGCTGAAAACATGTATGGCCTGGTGGTGGAATGGGGTGCACACATGATCCAACACTGATACAAAATAATTTTCTTCCTGTAAAAAGTAAACTGTATACAGTAATTTTGATTGGATTAACACTGCTGGCTCTGGTCATTCCAGAAATCATCACCAATAGAAAAATCACTGTGGTGTTATGAGGGCAAATAAAAGGGATGCATGCAACTCATTTGTGGTAGTTGTATTTTGACCACATTTACAGAAATCAATAAAATGTGAATTGATACAGATGTCAAAACATTTTAGGATTTTACATTCGAACAAAACTAAATTCAGCCTCAAATTTAATAATTTAACAATGTTAAGCAATGAATGCAAAACTTTGGAGGGAATGTGGAACTACAGAATTTGCTGCATTCTGTATGGCAGCAATAGTGAAACAAGCCAGTGATGCATTATACAGTTTACATTTACACTACTTCATTCAAATAATATTATTATTGCCCTTTGTATTTACTCAAACGCTAAAAAGGCCAACATATTTATTTACAAAATGTTTAGGTTAATTTAATTATGACCTTTGTTACATTACTGAAACCAAAATAGAACACATCATTCTCAATGACATAGTCCCAGAGTGTTTTTACTGATAAGATTCATAAGCAAAAAATGTACCATACATAAACCAAAGTTAAATAATGTAAGACTGGATATTTCTGAAAGAAAATGATATTGAAGGCATCAACTGTACAAAATAAGAATCAAGAGATCATAGGAGCATTTCATCTGCAGAGGTGGATAATACCTTAACACATACAATGTTATGGAATGCTGATTATGGTATCAATGATTTAATACAATGTTAATGAAGCCTTTACTAAATGACATAGTGTTTTTACACATCAATACAACAGTTGCATACCTAGAATTCATTTTAATAAAAATATTAAATAATGAGAGCCTATAAGAAAATACAACAGCTTGGTTCTTAAGTATAAGTTAGTGAGATTTTATTAAGGTACAGTACATACGGTGTAAAACGGAGCTTCAACTGCTTTATTGTACAATAGATATTAACGAAGGACACTTAGTTTTTCTTTCAACCAATCTTCAGTGAGTTCATCTACATGACGGACTTCATATACCTATAGAGCAAAGATGAATTTAATTAACCAAACATAGCGAAACTATCACAATCTTGTCCATATGGTTTTCAATACACATTATATTATGTATGTCCACATTAAGCAAATAACACAGAATAAACAGCAAAGTAAACACGTACTGCATAACGTGACTAGAACTGGCGCTCACGTACGGCACCTAATCGCCTTCCTTCATATCACTACACATCTTCCCTTGGGGCCCCCGGGCATCCCCAAACAAGGATGCTTGGTAATCAAGCTTATTACACGGACAGAGCATGAAACCGTCCACGCGATCTGTCCCACACAGTGAAGCCACATTAAAATTGGTCAGTAATGCAAAGTGGTTTGGTCAGTAATGCAACTAGCCTAACAATGCAGTGCCAATAGCTAATTTCATTGCCTAATATAATGTAATACAGTGTTCTCAAGGAAGGTGTGTCCACAATAAAGTGACCTAGAGACTGATTTCTGCACTCACCTTGGTTTGTCCAGTCTCATTTACAAGGTTTATTTTACTCCCTGCATACATCATATGAAGCTCTGGTTTGCCTCCTAGAAACACAACCAAACAAAATATAGAAACAGTACTCAATGCATGGTATCCAGGTATCATATATGCAATCAGACTGGTTGTTTTCAAAAAGTACAAAATAGTTTTTTTTTACCAAGACATAAATATTCATAGGAATAGCAATAACAAATCTACTTATGTATACCAGTATGTATACTTATTCTCCCTGCATACTAATTGTCAAAGCATTTTCTGGAAGCAGTTGGAAATCACATTTTTACTAAAACTTACATTTAAGGTACAGATGCAGATTTGTGGGCACTTGGGAGTGAAATTTCTTTTTTTTGCTTTTTATTATCCAAACAGTCTTGGCTATAGACTGTTAAAATTTTGTAGAATTGTGAATAGTGGAACATACTCAAAAAACGATTTTAAAATATAGATAACAGGTGCAAACATTCTCTCTTTTGAATGTTTAGCAAGATTTAGCAAGGCTGTACATAAATAATAAAAAAGAAACATGGTGAAAAAAAGAAATGACGAGATCTCCATATTATGCACTATATTTAACTTTTAACAAAACGATAAATTTGGAACTGTTACAGCCATTTTAATTATGTGGATTAGCAAACTTCTTACTGAGTGAATTGTTATGCAAATTAGCAATCATCTCAGCTTCTTTTTAGTGCACATATCAGAACTTTAAAAAAATAGCTCCTAGACGCTTTGACCTTTTGTTTTGAAATTTTCACAAATGATTGACAATGTGTTTATCTTCAAAATGCCGTCATGGCAATGTTTTTGGTTGAACAGTGTTACAACAATCGTACAGACAAGTAGCCTGGATGTTAATATATGCATAAACTTGAAGTAGTGAAATTTGGGCTGCTGCCCTGCAAAATTGACAACTGGTAGACAGTTTAGGAGCTAATTTTTTTTTAAATCACTTTTGACCAAAAAAGCACATTTTTGTGCATATTTCAAACTACAGTGACCATAAACAATTTTTAAATTCATACAATAAGCTTTCCGAAAATATCTAGTTTTGTGAACAAGGGAGGTCATCTTGGTTTCCTAATTAACTAATTAAAATAGCTGTCATGTAAACTGCATCTCTACCTTAACATACATGTAAATATACAATAAAACACATTGAATATGCTGAAAATTACTCAATTTAGCAACAATTAATGTGGTAGATGGCAACAGACAAATCATGAAATGTGATTAGTTCCAACCTGAGCTAATATAAAGCAGTAAAATTAAAAACAACCATTACCATTTCTCAAATTTGAGAAGGAGAGGATTTTGTTTTTTAAAAATAAAATCTGCACATAGAACATAGAACCAAAAAAAAACTTTTAGAATAAATGAAGTAACTTATGAAGAACAACACAAATGAGAAACATTGTGAAAAAAAAAATCTACCGGTACTTCAAAAGAGAATAAGAAAAATGTTTAGTAGTGTCTCCCCTTGAGCTTCTAATGGTTAACCTCTTATGTCATTATGCCCTCTCCTCCTGATTGTGATTACTTACCTTGTGGACTAATATGAATGAAGACGAGTGGATACGATACTCTACCATCATCATGTGTATAACAGTAACTATACAATAGAAATCTTGGCTGTGATGACGGCAATTCGTCTTGTAAATCTTCTAAAGAACAGTCCTAAACAAGAAAATCAAACTGTAAGTCCACAGCACTGAACTATTTTCATTTCATCATGATGTCACAATACCAGCACTAGATTGGTTAATCAGCATTATAATAGCCATTTTGTGTTCATAAAAAATTATATTTAAAGTTAAACTTACCTCAAATTCTTCTTCAAATTTTATTAATAGACTTTCTCTGTCAATTTTCACTGCAATCAAGTACATAGAATATCAATAATAAGTTTTGATTAATATGTATCTCATGAGAGCATGATGGATTGCCTTACTGATGAGACAGTGAAGAACAAAGAACTACTCTTGGTACACTGAGAATTGCACACACTATAACAGTCATGTTGCAGACTTTCATGTTCAGAAAGATAAATCACAATGCAACATAACAAATAAAATATACTATAATATTATTTTTTCGAAACTATTTCACTCTGATAGTGTCTTTGAGGATGTTCTCATACAATATATAGTGTGTGTGATAGGGGGGGTTATATGGTCAGGCAAATGCCCTCCTATCAAACCACTCTCTATAGTGCTATGACGACAGGGTTTCGGTCATCACAATTATATCCACAGATATATTCAACATAATCAAGTTCAAGATGTTTTTTTTCAAACGAGGATGATCAACAAGCCCTCTAGTAGGAAGTAGGACTGTAGTTACCAGGGGTGGGGTGATTATTGACCCTATGATCCTACACAGTCCTCAACGGTATATGTTAATATTTACTATTTACGATCTCAACATTAACTAAGGAATGCGAAGACCGCCTGTGGTTCAAATTTCACAGTTTGTAATGGGTAGCAAAACAGTGAGCTATATTGCAATACTGATGTTTGGGTTGCGTTTTCGTTCACACTAATATCGCATAATAGTCACAAGAGCATAATTTGTATTTCGGCACGGTCTTAGGCAGTACATCTTCGTTTAGCGTGAAATGGCTTATACTCACTGATGATAGCCGCATTGTTCTTAGCTCTACGAAGACGAAACTTCTTGAGTTTGGCTTTCAGCTCTCCGTCCACATCACACACAGTCACGGCTTGAGACTACAAATACATGGAAATCAGACACGAATACATGGAAATCAGACACGAATATAGTGTGTTAATGTTAGTCAACAAAATCTAAATATTTGACTGAAATCCAGAATAAATAACTCCACCTACCATGATGATGATAATAATCGTAGGTTACTTCCGAGCTGGGCTGACCTTCAACCGGAAGTAGAAATAAAATATCAATGCGGAAGTTCCAATCCGTCCCTTTTAATACCCAATTTCACATGAAAAAAATCATCTACGTTAAAATCATATTTGTTTATTAAGTTGTTAGTTTATTAATTTAGTCGAAGTGTACGTCAGTCACACGGGAAAATGTTTCGCTACTGAAACTCCAAACATAAACTACAGAGGGCGCTAAATGCTAAGTTTTATTCATGGAACACCAAAACCCCACCCCAACCACTTCCTAAAACATATGTAAATAAATATGTAATAAATATTTTGGAGACATATTGTTCTGAATGGAACCTAGAAATAAATTTATCTAAAACAAAAATCTTAATTTTTAGGATCAAATCATTAAAAACATCTGAATACTTCTATTACAAAAATACAATTATTTGCTGTGTGACAAGTTATACTTATCTTGGGATAATAATCTCATCATCTGGAAATTTTATAGAAGCAAAGAAAACATTAGCAGAGAAAGCA